GATCTTTACTTATTATCCAAATGATTTTTGGCATAAAAGAAAAATTTATAATTTTGACCCATACAATGTATTTTTGGCTATTGCTACAAATATACCCATGCTACTTAAGACTGGTTTTGTGGTGCAGGGTCACATATGTTTAGGACAGTCAGTGAGCAAACTGTGTGGTCCATTGGAAGTGCTGTTTGAGGCTGAGACTGTCCCAGGTGTCATCCACTAATTGAAATATTGAACTGTAATAAAATCAATCACACACTATCCACACATTTCTTTTAAGTTTTCACTCCTCCGCATTATTTAGGATGGAAATCCCTCCTCTCTCTTTTTCATCGTTGACTTGAGTGGATTTATCTTTTTTTTTTTTTTTAAATGAGAGCCCATTGCTGCCTCAGAGAAATTGCCACTGTGATTTAATCAGATCAGCAGTTTATGTCTTCCAGTTAACCCATGATACTCCAGAGGTTTCTGTCATTATAATTTAATCATTTAACTTTTCATAGAGCAAATGAAATGAAATTTAAATATCTTACCATTATAAATATATTTTCCTGCATTTATGTGTCTCTCCAAAGTCACTGCAGACTTACACATGCTGGCAGATAAAGATGGTAACAGGTTTTTATTGTTCTATAACTGCAAAATAGTCATTACTTCCTCTCACATTTAATAATAAACTGAGCTTCACATACTCACCCTTGCCTTGTGTGACGTTATTTAGCTACTCAATCACTTGGATTATGTCTGTCTTTATAAAGGCTTTTTAAAAAATATTTTATTTATTTATTTATTTTTGTTTTGGTAAGGTTCATGCATTTGTCTGAAGCTGATATGAAGTGATTATCCTCCAGGCAGACATCCTTTGGAGGCATTAATTATTCAAAATACAAAAAAGAGAGTTCATTTACTGATCTGAAAATGAAAAATATTGTCCTAAATCTTACATTAACATTTTTAAAAAGTATGCATTAATAACATTATAAATCTTTATTCAAATAAATATGAAGTGAATGCTCTGTGTTCCTCATTGAACAGGACACCATGACAAGAAAAATCCAGGCCAGGAGAGTTTTGCAACCTCTTTGCACAGAAATGAAGGTAAGACTACAGTTTCCTAAAGCATTCATCTGTTTTTTTTAATTCTACAAATACTTGAACCAGTAAATATTTTAAAAATGTATTTTTCCAATATTCTGCCTTGTGTGAATGTTGGACATACTTGTTACAGAAAACTCTGGAAAACAGTCTCTGACTGATTTAATTTATCTCACAATTGCTGGTCAGAGTAAGGGCATAATGGATGAAATGGCCACAGTGAATAATGGCAAATGATTGGCCCCTGTGAGTTAGATGTTGGAAGGATGGAGACAAATTTTCTGTTTTATCAAACAGTCAATTTTAAATCAGATAGAAAATTTGACAAGCTCTTCTGAATTTTGTTAAGAGGAAAAGTAAATCTGTAAATGGTTCCTGAGAATTATATACAAATCATAACTGTATGCTATAAAAATTAATTCTTTTGTATTTGAATTAGTCATGCACAGTCAAAGCTAAATATAACTCTAAATTATATTAGCTTGCTATTTTCTTTTTAATTGTTGAACTTCCTAGAACCATTATTGTTTGTGATTTAAAAAAAGAAACTAGTGATGTTTTTTTGGCTGTTGTTCTGGTCAGAAAATATGTTGGTCTTATTTTTTTTCTCAGATCTAACAAGCAGCCTTTTTAATAAAATACCATGCTTACTTCCAAGGGTGATGACTCAGTATGCTGTGGGCTTTACACAAGGTTACATGCCGAGATTTTTCTTTCAGTTCCTTTGAGTCTACTCGCTTAAACTTTTAATTAAACTTGTTGAAAATCCTTTAGAAATGTGTTACTTTCTTACTGTTAATCAGATCAGAAGTCCGTCGGATTATCCATGAGCATCACAGCTCTAAACTGAATGATGAGTCTCATTTTACAAAACCAATCCGGACTCATTTTTCTCATTTGAATCCCAATTATCTCAATTTTGAATGTTTTTAATTTGTAGTTTCAAATGCCATAATCAATTTTTTGCTTCAGTATATTTATTTTTAATTGTTGATGTAAACTGGAATGCCTATGAACTACCAGCTGTGCTGGTATAGTGTTTTCTTGTGGTAACCTTGGTAACTATGAGTGGGTGGGTCTTATGCAGGGTTTATCACACTGTACAATATGTCAGAGGTGTAAATGGGATGAAAGATTTGTCAGGTTTTTGATCACAAATCAGTTTATCTTGCAGTTAATTTATATCACTATATCATACTAGTACATAGCATAATGAGTCTTAATGATTAGTCTTAAAGGGATAGTTCACCCAAAAATGAAAATTTGATGTTTATCTGCTTACCCCCAGGGCATCCAAGATGTAGGTGACTTTGTTTCTCCAGTAGAACACAAATGCAGATTTTTAACACAAACCGTTGCAGTCTGTCAGTCTTATAATGTAGGTGAATGGGAATCACAGCTTTGAGAGTAAAAAAAACATACACAAACAAAACCAAAATAAACCCTGTGGCTCGTGACGATACATTGA